GGGTGCTGGGTTTTGTGTACCTGGTAGCTGACACTCCTCTGCCACCTAAGTCAAAAACCCTTTGAACGTCTAGGAACAGAATTACCCTTCGATACAAGCAAAGGGATTGCCTTTTCCCTTTGAGGAGCACCAAAACCTTAAGGGTCTGGTGAACATGGGAGTTTTGGTCCACACTCTTTCTGGGCTTCCTTCTGACCTGGCAGCGGGCTCTTTTTTTTTTTTTTTTTTTTTTTTAAAGATTTTATTTATTTATTTGACAGAGAGAGACACGGTGACAGAGGGAACACAAGCAAGGGGAGTGGGAGAGGGAGAAGCGGATTCCCCACTGAGCACGGAGCCTGATGCGGGCCTCCATCCCAGGATCCTGGGATGATGACCTGAGCCGAAGGCAGATGCCTAAAAACTGAGCCATCCAGGTGCCCCTGGCAGCGGGCTCTTGAGATCTCGTGGTCGGAAGCTGGGTTCGCCCTTTGTGGAAGTCGAATGGTTTGCCCTTGTATGAAGAGCGGCAGACTGAGTTCCAGAAGCACCAGGACTGCTGGGTCAAGGGTTCTGGAAGGGTGTGGTGGAAATTGCCCCGCTGTCATCTTGCCCCTGGCCTAATGGCTCAGGCCATTTTTAGATGTCAGGAAGTATAACAATATGGTACATTTATCTTGGTGAATAATGGATGAGCCCCGGGAAGGTACTGTACTTTTCCTGGTGAATTATTTACCAGGAGCCTCTTATTTGAGGGATCTCCGTTATAAATGGCCTGAATCTGGTATCTAGAGAGCCCCTCCCCCTTTGCTACCTCCCCCCAGGTCTCCTGTGCATAGTCGAGCCTGTAACCTTTGGTGTCTAGTGATAGAGTAAGTAGCCCTGTGGCCCAACCTGGGGACTGAGTTTAGAGTCTCTGAGGCTGTTGGGTGGGGGGAGAGGACCTGGAGACCCAAGGATAGACCTGCCAGGGGAACTTGAACTTGGGGTCATTGTGGGGCTGGGCCTTGCTCTGCAGGCGTGAGGAGCCCTATGCATGCCTACATGTGTGTGAATTCGTCTGCTATGAGTCTTTGTTTTTCTTGCCCCTTTTTCTGGGTCTCCATGACTCTGTCTCTCTGTGTGTCTCTGCCCATGTCTCTTTACCTGTTTGCCTCTCACCTTCTCTTCTGTCAGGACCTGGGTCCCTCTCTCTCCTCTCTGCCTGTGTCTCTTCCTCTTTAAGTCAGCTCATTTCCCTCTGTCAGTTGTTAGTCTCCCTCTGTCTCCTCTTTATCTGTCTCTGTCAGTTTCCTTCCAGCTCCCTTCATCTCATCTCCCTGTCTCTTTCTATCAGTGTCTGCTCGCTGCCCCCTTCCCTCTCTCCCTGCCATCCGCCTCCCTCTCTTCCTCTTTCTCCCCGCCTCCTTCTCCCCCCTCTCTCCCTCCGTGACTTTAGAGGTCTGTAAGAAGCACCTCCTGGAATGGGGGGACAGTCAGTTCCAGACTTAAGTAAAGCCAGATCTTGGTGCCTTCCAGACCCTGACTCAAAGATCGACAGAGTAGGCATGAAATAAACTTTAGGTCTTTGTCATTTTTTTGGCTATTCAATTCAGTTATTGCATCAGCCACTCTTAGGGGCTTTAAAAAAAATTTTTTCCCCCAGCTGTTTGTGTGTGTTTTATGTTTTATAATGTTTTCTCCCCAAAGTCAGTTATCCCTACCTAGGCTTGAAGCATCTGGTGATGAGTTGCAAGTTTTGGCTGCTTTTAAAAATAACTTACAAGGAATTGTTTCTATTATTCATCCGCTTGTATTTTTTTCATCTGTTGTTATTGATTTGAGGATTGAAATACTCATTTTGCCATCTTTAGCCAGAATGCTTTCTCTAAACAGCTGATTTTAAACAAATGACTCTTTTTTGGTTATTTTCCTTAAAAAAACAAAGGAGCAAATCACTAGTAGTGATTTGCAGTTAGGAGGTTAAATAAAAGAATACGATTGCCCTGTTAGAAAGTTTGTATTTTAAGCAGGAAAATGAGGTTATAAGGAGCCTAGCAAGTATCTATGGTTTGATTTAACTCAGCAGCTGGCCTGCCTTCCACATCCCCCTCTGCCTGTGGCTCCCCCTCACCTTGTCACACCAGGCCAGACCCCATCACATCTGAGTCATATTTGAGCAATGTGTTCGCGGCTGCAGGATTGGGTCTCCACTCCAAGATCGTCCTCCCCTCCAACGTTGTTTCCAGCAACGCATGCTAACAGAGGTGGCTAAGAGAACTTTTGATGGCGGGAGCAGATCTGTCTTCACAAGGAGACAGTGGGCACTCTGGACAGCCCTGCCCCACACCTGTCCCCAGCCTGTCCAGCAGCCTGGAGTCCAGGAGGACACTCGTGTCTCCTCCAGCCGGTGGTGGTTCCAGCCCTCCTCCCTCAGTCTGGATCCTTTGTGTCCCCGGTTGAGGCCCAAAGCCGGCAGCATCCCTTTCTAAGACTCTCCCCTCCCTGGAGAGAAGGGTTGCTTTCCAGAAACAGCTGTTGGGTCAGACAAGTGGAGAAGGAAAGGAAAGAAAAGAAGGCTGGGGGAGGGGCACTTTGTGGATGGTGGTCTGCTTCTGACTCCTGGGCCCTGCCTTGTGCCCTGGCCTGGAGGGCACAGCCAGTCCGTGGTGCATGTTGTCCCACGGGGTCTCCTGCCAGCCACCCAGGGGCACATTTGTCTCCTGCCCATGTGTGAGACATCGCTGCGTGTCACGGGCTGTGTGGCAAATGCAGCCCGCTGCCGCAAGCCTGGAGTGGCTCGTGCTTTCCACATCCCACATGATTTCCTCACATTCCCCACTCCTGTCTGCCCCGGGAAGTGGTTTGCAGAGTGCTTCTAAATATAAAAGTCTGAGACCGGCTCTTCCTCTTACCACTTTGAAACCAGCTGAAGTCCAGCCTCTTCAGGGACTTTTTGGGTTTACCGGGGAGAAAGGGAGGGAGGCAGGAGAAACTGGTTCCAAGGATACCCAGCAGGCAGCGGGGACCATGTGCGGCGATAGAGGCCAGGGTTCTGGGGGCACTCAGGGAGGCGGGTGTGGGCTTAAAGACCAGTCTTCAAATTGTGGACAGCTGTGTTCGGCCACTTACTTGTTGAAAAAAAAAAAAAAAATCCACTTTCGTCTTCCCTCCCCAAGCCTAGCAGCTCGGTTCATCTCCTGGGAGAACAGCAGGAGGTAGGACATGGCCACAGGGAAAGATCTTCAAACACAGAGCTAAGTGGAACAAAGTAAGGCGTGGAGTGAGCAAGAATGGAGACCACTCACAGAAGTTAAAAGGACCTGCCCTGGGACCCTGCAGTCCCATTTCCCCAGAGCGCACAGAGAAAAGGATTTACATTAAACACGGCAGAAGGGTTGGGGGAGGGTGTGGATCAAAGGAAATAAGTGAAAGGAAAGAAGCAGCCAGCAGGGCATCATGGAAGGAGCATCATGGAAGGAGCATCATGGAAGGAACATCATGGAAGGAACGCAGACCCAACCCAGACAGATAGACAACCAGGGCAGGACAGAGCCAGAGGGTACTTGCAGACAGACTGCCATTTCCTGGGACAGCCTGGACTCCACTTTCCTCCTCAGAAAAATGAGGCTGACCCCCGGGTCGAGGGTTCTTTAGGTTAGAAATAATGTGCCTGTGCTTGGGGCCGTGTAAGAAGCCGGCAGTCAGAGGGACGAAGGCAGTGCCATCTAATGGAGCTTTTTGTGGGGACAGATCTGCACTGTGGGATACGGTGGCCTCAATCTAGGTGTAGCTCCTGAGCACTTAAAATGTGCCTCACACTAAGGAGGAAGGTTAATTTTCAATTTTGTTTCATTTTAATTCAGTTACATTTCAGGAGCCCCTCGTGGCTAGTGGCTACCATATTGGACAGAGCAGGTCTAAGGGACAGTTCAATTTCTTTATGAGTCAGGATGGATTTTCTTTTTTTTAAAGATTTTATTATTTATTTGAGAGAGAGAGAGAGAGAGAGAGGGTGCTCAAGCAGGGGGAGCTGCAGAGAGAGAAGCAAGCTCCCTGCTGAGCAAGGAGCCCACTGTGCAGGTCGATCCCAGAACCCTGGGATCAGGACCTGACCCAAAGACAGACGCTTAACAGACTGAGCCCCCCAGGCACCCCAGGATTTTCTTCACTGAAGTACAGGCTGCTCCAGCTAAAAGGCAGGGAATCGTGTCCCCTTCCATAGGGAATTTGGGCTGAATTGTGGTGGCCACTCTGGTTAGGGCTGAGATCTGTGCTCACTGCCTTATCAGCCTCCCAGGGAGGAGGCAGAGATGGGTAGAAAGAGCTCAGAAACTAAGAGTCTCACAGAGTTTTCTGAGCCTGCCTTGAAAATTAATAAACCCAGGCTAGGTCTCCCCAGTTGCAAGGTGGTGGTCCCCAGGCTGTCATTTAGTCTGCTCCCCTCCTCCCCAGGAAAGACCACAGGATGCACCCCAGGCTCACCTAGGGCGGTTCTCACTGTGGTTCCCGGGAGCCCTCACCTCTGCACTTGGGAGTCTAATGAGTGGTTGTGGAGCCTGCAGCCAGGCGCTGGGCTCTCTGTCCCCTCTGGAGCCCCGAGGACACTGACTGAGCAGCCCTGAGGTCTTCCTGGGACTGAGCCCTGGCTCATTTCTCAGCATCCTGGTCCAGCAGCTCTGTCGCCTTGCTCACATGTGTGTATTATTTTCACAGGCCTCTGACCGGTGTCTTTAGGTGACTTCTCTCTCCTTGGTACTGAGAATGGATCTGTCCCCAGGCACAGAGGGTGGAACGAACTCCTGGTTCTTCCTGGCAGTTCTGGTCCAGCAACGCCCCTCCAGGCCCTATCCACCAAGCCTTTGGACTCCCCAGGGATCACCTTATCCAAGGATATTTTAATCTGGGGTCCATGGTTCCCTACCTAGCCTTTCTGTTTTGTTTCTTTTTCTTTTTCCTTTTTTAACTTTCCTGAAAAATACGCAGATTTTGTGGGTCTGTACCTAATGTGAATTTCCTTTGAATATTGCTGACTCCCCTAGGAATCCGAAGGAGAATCACTAAAATTGGTTCCAAGGGTGCCATTTTCCAGAATAGGAAACTGAGGACCCAGAGAAGGAAATTAAATTGGCCAAGATGGGATAAAGGTAGCCCTAGGACAAGATTTCAGGTCAGGCAGACTCTCGGTGACTTCATTCCCCCCAAACGCTGGTGGGGTATTTACGGTGCCCCGGCCCTCTGAGGGGCACAGCCGTATCCTCTTGGGCACGAATGTCTGCCCTCTTCTCAGGCTTGCAGCCTAGCTTGGGGGTGCAGCTCTCAGTCATAGCACAGATGGGACTATCAGGGGTGTCACAGGCAGTGAGCGCTCAGTGCAAGTGTGTGGCTAAGGCAGAGGCGAGATCTGGCGAGGCAGGGTATGAGCTCAGCCATTGGAATGGGAGCAGCTTGTCAGAAAGTGATGCCGGGTCCCTGTTTGCAGCCCCCAGCTACCTCCGACCTGCACACCTGCCATTTACAGCATCTCCTGAATCATCCTGGGCCCTGCCCTGCCTTTCCCTTTGGGCTTTGGGGGCTGGGGGCTGGGGTGGGTTTGGGAGAGGACTCTGGGGCCTGAGCCCTTTGTTCCTGTAGCTGCCTTTGAAGCGCTTTGCAGCTCGAGTACTGGGTCTTGGGAATGGTCCCATTCTAATTCTCTCGTTGATGTAATATTATAGTTAGTAAGTCTGCCTGGGAAGGGGTGGTGATTGGCTCGGGTCATTCTGCTTGTTAGCAGTTGTGTGGAGACTAGAACCTGGGTCTCCCCGTGCCCTGTTCCTTCGGCCTGATCACACCACATCATGTGACTGGGTGTTTAATTCATTGCTGCTTCCTTGAAGACATCACAGCCATGTAAGGGTTACCAAGGGTGAGAGATGCATCCCAGGTACGGCCCTCCCAGCCCCAGCAGAGGATGGGCTGGTTCTAGGGACCAGCAGTGTGGCCACTGGCTGGGGAGCGTCTTAAGCCTCATTTGCGGGCGTATTTGTCCTTCTGGCTTGGATGCCACGTGATGCTGGACACAGGACACAGGACCTGCTCCTGCCATCAGAGGTTGATCTTCCCCCTCGGGGGCCTCCCAGGAGTGGGCAGGACAGGTTTGAGTTGTGGTTTTCATCTAAGGTAGACAAGCTGGCCTGCTAGGTTTTGTTTCTGCTCTAATCTCTGGTTATTTTGTTCTGCTCCTCTAATCCGGATGTGGGAGCCTCTACAGACATTTGCAGCTAGATCCCAGGATGGGAAGACTGTCCGGTTTTCCCTGGCTCTGGCTCTGCGCTCTCCTGCGCAGCTCAGAACAAGGACTGTGACGGCTTGCAGAGGGCTATGGCGCTCCCCCGTCCGTGAACCTGGGGCCTTCCGTAGACCCTGGAGAGGCAGAGGGGGTTAGAAACTTTGTGCTCTGCCTCTGGGTCTCATAGTTTGCTGTGGTCGATTTTCTGGGACCCCATGCATCCTTATGGTCTGGGCTTACTGTCAGAGGGTCTGGGTTGCTGGTGCTAAAACCGTGTACAGTATCTTGCTGGTACATGCTGGTGGTAGAGAGGGACACTGCAGTTCCCAGATTCACAGACACCACTGGGGTGTTAGTGTTTCTGCTGACCTGGGTGGGTTGGTGAGGGATGGGCTAGCTCAGCCTGCTGTTCATCCACTTGACTTACTCCTGCAGCGGTTGACATTTGTTCCTCAGCCAAATGACATAGTGTGTGAGCCCCGGACCTTTGGGGTGGTTCAAGGGCAGGAGAAAGTTATGCCAGTTGAATCCCGGAAGGCTGAGGGTCTGGATGTACAGTGTGTGACCCCTTGGGGAGGACTTGTGGTGCAGGGACCCTCGTACCCCTGGGGCCTCTTGCTTGGCGCCCTTAGTGTTTCTGGATACAGTGTACTTGTGAGGAGGGCTGTCCTCGTCTGGGTGGGGGCCCGGGAGCTGCTGTGTTTCCTGGACGGCACATGTCAGTGTGCTGCTTGGGTTGAGGGCTGCCTCTCCTGGCCTGTGTCCTGATGCCACTGCCCAGACAAGGCACAGGGTATTGGCAAACCTCTTCATCAGGGGTTTGTGTGCCTTGACGGGAGCCACCTCAGCCTGGGCCCTGGGGGCCACCCGGGAGTCAGGATGTTCCCCACGGGGACCCAGGCTCTGGAGCCAGAGATGGAGTCTTAGGTGTGGAGGAGTCGGCTACTTCTGTGTGGCTGGTTGGCCTTGGGGGTGGTCCCTCACATGGTCACACACTGCTGTGTGAAATGCCCCCCTCAGGGCCAGCCGGCCAGCATCTTGGTAGCTCAGCCTAGTCCTGAGGCATGTGTCCCAAAGATGGCATTTTCTTTAGGAAAAGGGAGAGCACGTAGATACAATCAGCTGGTCAGGTTTGGCAGGTTCTGGGCCTGCACAGGTCCTGGGGTGTTTTTCCTCAAGCAGGAGGACCAGCCCCCACTGTGAGACAGGTAGTTAAGTGGCCCAGATGGATGCTTGGACCAGAGTAGCTGAAATTACTTCAGAGCAGAAAAACTTCCTGCTGCTTTCTGCTCTCCATAAAATCATGTTTACACATGTGTGTGCACACATGCACACATAGACACACATGGGTCTGCTGGGCCCGGAGCCCAGAGAGCAGCAAGGAGGGCGGGCGGCGGACCAGCCGCTTGCTGGGGGGTGGGGAGCAGAGTTGGTCCGCTGCCCGCACAGCCTTGCTCTGGGCGCTGGGGCCAAGGCGCAGGCAGAGTGTCTGCATATAGATGGCTGTTGGGGGAGCCGAGGAAATGGCTCGGAAAATGCCCTTATTGGGTATTCGCAGCTCCAGCTTTGTTGGGGTTGGCGCCCGGTGTGGGGGCAGATGGCTCTGGCTGCCTGCTGTTGCGGGGGGACTGCTGGAACCCTCTGTGCCTAGCAGGGCAGCCCCGGACCCTCCGAGTCCTCCGTGCTGTGCTGGGGGCTCCATCTCTGTGAACCCACTCAGCCTCAGGGCGAGGGGCGGGGTCCCCATTGCATGGCGAGGGCAGGGATGCAGAGCGGCCAGGCCAGCCCTCTGCTCTGAAGGTGCTTGGGTGTAGGAGGCACCATGCACGGTGTGGTCGGACTGTGAACGAGGGGGCGGCTTTGGGAAGCCTAGGACCAGTGTGCCACCAGAGAAGGCCATACCCAGACCTTAGCCCTGGGGGATATCCTCAAGTCATCCATGGTGCAGGGTCAGGAATGTGCTGGTGAATGCACCACCTTGGGGCAGGTACCACCTCGGTGCCCAAAAACCTTCTGTCTCTCTGTCATTGCTGTCCTCCACATCTTGTCATTGGGACCGGCCGAAGCTTCTGAGGAGGTCCTCACTGCTCAGCTCCTCCTTTCCTGGAGTCTGGGATTTCTGCGAGGGACTCCCCCATCTGCCCCTGAACCTTCTTCCTGTTCCCCGCCAAGCTACACAACAGAGCGAGCTCTCTGGCAAGCCCTGCACACCAGAAAGGCCTCTGGTCACCTTCTCGGCCAATGTGGGGCCACGGCCCTGGGCCAGCCTCCCGATGGTGGTTTGGAGCAGGGGCTGGGGGCTTGGAGAAGGCCTGGTGGCTGTTCTCCCTGCCTTTTATAACATCTGAAGTCTGCCCCAGCCAAGCACTAACCAGGACCTGCTGTGAGCTGACGTCAGGACAGAGGGCCCCGCAGGGCCAGCTTTGATGTTTCCCAGGCCCTGTCGTGGGGGCGCAGGAGGCTCTGAGCGGCAGTCTGGGAATGCAGCATCTCTCACCACACAGCTCCAGAGCAGCGCTCGCCCCAGGAGGGGATGCCAGAGGCTGAGCTGGGGTCCCTCTGAGTCACACCATCTCTTCTTCCAGCTCTGATTGCTGTGGCCCGTGGTCTGCGGTTCCTGCAAGCCCACAGCCCCTTTCCCTGCATCCCACCCCGACCTGATCATTCCCCTCAGACTTCTCTGTTGCAGAAGCTCCTCCCCATCTGGGTCTGGGAGTGGTCCTCCCAGAGTCATTGGGCAAGACGCGTGCCAGTGGAGATAGGAATGGTAGCCACCGTTCACTGGGTCAGCTTTGTCTGAGTGTCTTGACATGAGTTTCTGTGTGTGTGACTCATGACAAGCTCACGAGAGAGGCCGAGGGAGCCAAGGCAGAGACCATCTGCATGCCTTGCCCAAGGTCACACACCAAGCATGGGGGCAGGGGTTGAGCCCAAGCTGTGATTCCACATGCCTAACTAAGGTTTCTCTGCACAGGCGAGCTTCTGGGCTCCCTGGGTCTGGAGAAGCTGAGCGGGGAAATGGGGTCGTTCACCTACTCTCTGACGGCAGATGATCTCTCTGGCCTTTCATAAGTGTCCTGGAGTTCAGGGTCGAGGGCCCCAAGAATTCGGTGAGTCCCATTTGCAGGGGACCACTGGGGCATCAGCCTGAGTCTGCCCCTGTGCCTCGTGAGAGGTAGTTGGGCGGTGTGCCAGACGCCTCCACATTCTCCAGCTCTTGCCCCACACTCCCTTAAGGTGACCTCAGTCAGACAGTGAGCTGAGCGCCTTTGTGTGTCTGGCATTGTCTGTAGGAGGTCTGCCTCTCTCCCTGGCCATGGGGACTGAGCCCCATTGTGGGATCAGCCATTTCCAGGTTGGTTTTGAGTTTGTGGGCGGAGCTGGGAAGAGCACGGGGCTAGGAGTTGGCTTCCTTGGGTCACGGTCAGATGAGCTGTTTGATTCTGGGCAGATCCCTTCATTTTCCAAGGACCTTAGTTTACCTGTCTGCTCGACAAAGGGGTTGTGCTGAGTTGCTCCGCGGGGGCAGGGGCAGGGTCCCATTCCTGTGTGGTGACTGGAAGTGAGTGGGGTGTTTGGGATGTCACGGTGACTGGGGGTGTGCTTGGCAGCTCCCCGAGGACAGGTTTGTTAACTTGCACAGTGGGTGGGATAGCTCAGCAATGCTCCCACCCAAAGAGCAGTGCCCCGCTGAGCAGAGATGGAGGTGGCTCTGGGCCCCCTTTGGCTCCATGACTATCTTGCGGGCTAGCACCTCTGAGAATGTTGGGAGATGGACCGACACCAGGGGCAGCCCCTCATCTGGACCTCACTCTGACAGAGTCTGCACTTGTCTTGCTGCTGACTTTATGGAGAGACTGGTTCTTAGGCCCTAAAGAACCAAACTTCATTGTCAGGGGCTTGGAACAGCTGTGATTAGCCTCTGTAGGTTTGGAAGGGCATAGCAAGACCTCAGCCTCCTCTTGCCCTTACCGTCCCGCTTTGGTCAGAGGCAGAGCCTGCTTCTTCACGTAGCAGCCTCAGGAGGCCTATTTCTTCTTCCCGGAGGGGCTGCAAGTCCTCCTCTGTGCCGTCACCCACCTCTGGCAGGCAGGCCGGTGTTCCTGGCCCAGCAGCTCAGGGCCTCTGCAGGACGCCCACGTGGGCCCGGAACAAAGCCCGGTGTGTTACTTCTGCTGTCACCATGCCACCTGCCCAGCCCTGCCCTCCGCCTCCTCAACCCATCTGCCGCTCAATACAGGTTTTTCACTTCCCCTTTGTTCCCACTGGCTATGGTTCCACCCCGGTTGCAGGCCGCCCCCCTTCTCTGTAGGTGCCCCTCCAGCCCCAGCCAGAGCCAAACTGTTGTGGTACAAGAGAGGGGAATGCTCACCTCTCAACTTCACCCAGAAAAGCCATATCTTGGCCAGACATACTCTTAGGGATAGAGGGTAGGACGCGGGGGGCAGCGTTGGCCTGCCTTTGGAAACAGCCCCAGATCTAGAGAATACTGGCTTCTTCTGTGATGGGGTGGCTTTCGCCAGAGAAGTCCCTGGGGGATGCTGGGCTGCAAGGCATCTGTGGGTAGACCCTTAGCGGGGCTGTGAGTGTGAATAATCCTTCCAAGATGCTCTGTGCTCGGCATCCTGGTTTCTGAAGATTGATGGGGGAGGGCCGCCTGCTAACGTCCTCTGCTCCTCAGCCCAGCATCAGGACCCACAGGTCAGAAACTTCCTTTGGGGAGCCTCCCCGGTGTCCCCGCCCCTCCCCCAACCTTGGAACACCCTCTTTTCTGTGCACTGCCTGCCTGCACTGTTCAGTGGGCACACAGCCACCGTGTTCTGTGTAACTGCTCTGTGCCCCCTGCCAACTGGTGTGCACTGTATCTTTGTGTCCTCCAGGGCGGCCAGCACAGTTTCAGAGTTTCTCAGTGGACACTTGGCACTTGTGGGCTCTGGATCCTTCTCTCCCACACTTCCCGGACACCGCCTGTGTGCGGAGCCCCTTTCCTCCTGTGCACCGGGTGGCGGGTGACCTGCGCGAGGACGGTGGCTCTAGCTCTTCCTGACGGTGCCTCTCCCCTGTCCCCATCTGCAGGTGCCCAGGCAGCCCTTGTCTTCATCAAGGAGCCATCCTCCCAGGATGCACTGCAGGGGCGCCGGGCGCTGCTCCGCTGTGAGGTCGAGGCCCCAGGCCCGGTGCATGTGTACTGGCTGCTGGATGGGGCCCCCGTCCGGGACACCGAGAGGCGTTTCGCCCAGGGCAGCAGCCTAAGCTTTGCTGCTGTGGATCGGCTGCAGGACTCTGGAGCCTTCCAGTGCGTGGTGCGGGACAACGCCACGGGAGAGGAGGCCCGCAGTGCCAACGCCTCCTTCAACATCAAATGTGAGAGCTGGGAGGCTGTGCTCGCTCCCTGCAAGTCCTCTGTTACTGAACCCTGTGGGACCCCTCCTTTCCCCCAGCTTCTCTCATTTCCAATTGAATGCACTTGGAGTCCATTCTTTCTGTGTGTGGGGGGGAAGAGAAGTTTTTTTTTTATTTGTTTTTTTCCGTAAGATTTTTTTCCCCTTCAGGTAGAGGACCCTTGACCCGCTGCATGCTTTAGCAGATGGCAAGGGCAGTGTGGCAGCGTGGCCAAGCGTCAGGGTTGACCCGCCACAGACAGAGTGGATGCTCTGTTTCTGGCCCCCCCCCCAACCCACCCCCTGTGTGTAGCCCCGGCCTCAGCTCTGCAGGGCTTCCCTGCGCTGTCTCTTGGCTCCAGAACCTGCAGGCTGTGTCCTTTGCTGCTTTTCCTTCCCCTCTGTCCTCTCCTTCCTCCTCGCCCCCTGCTTTGCTCTGCTCTGCTCCTCAGCAACTGTGGCCTCTGCTGCAGGGATTGAGACTGGCCCTGTGGTTCTGAAGCACCCAGCCTCAGAAGCCGAGATCCAGCCACAGACCCAGGTCACACTGCGCTGTCACATTGACGGGCACCCTCGGTAAGGAGCTGAGTTGGAGGGTGGGAATGGAGAGGGTCATTCTAGACAAGTAGGGACTAGACAAGTCCCAACACCTGGACTCTCTTCAGAGGCACCTCGCTTCATTCTGTAACCACCCCTGTCCAGGGGCTGCTCCAGTCTAGCCTTCAGTGACCGGAGGAGGGGCAGCCTTGTGCTGCGGAATGATCCTGAATTCTGGATGCTGAGAGTTGTAGCAGCTCAGCCTGATGATGCCCCTGAATTGTTGTGTGTTCCTGTGCAAGTCACATCCCCTCCCAAGCCCCATTTGTAAACTGAGGGGTCTAGCCCTGACCCTCCGATTCTGTACCCTGTCCGCTGGCCACGTGAGTACCCTGTGCCTCCCTGCTGCTGATGCTCTCGGCATTGCAGGCCCACCTATCAGTGGTTCCGAGATGGGAACCCCCTCTCCGATGGCCAGAGCAATCACACGGTTAGCAGCAAGGAGCGAAACCTGACCCTCCGGCCGGCCAGCCCGGAGCACAGTGGCCTCTACTCCTGCTGTGCCCAAAACGCCTTTGGGCAGACTTGCAGCAGCCAGAACTTCACCTTGAGCATTGCCGGTGAGCCCGGGGTGGGGATGAAAGTGCAGCAGGGATGGGAGGGGCCTCCCCATGCTGCCTGCTCACATACCTGTGCTTCTCCCTCCCCAGATGAGAGCTTTGCTAGGGTAGTGCTGGCGCCTCAGGACATTGTGGTGGCAAGGAATGAGGAGGCCATGTTCCACTGTCAGTTCTCAGCCCAGCCACCCCCGAGCCTGCAGTGGGTCTTTGAAGATGAGACTCCCATCACTAACCGCAGCCGGTAAGGCATCTGGCAAGGGGCGTTCCAAGTACAGTGGTATGGGTCGTATATTGCCCAGGTGCATTCTCTAAACGCATGGGATCAGTATTGCAGATATCCTAGGGCTATACATGTATTACTTCAAGTTTCCAGCAGATGGCAGTAGAATGTCTTACTGTTACTGAATGAGTTCAACAAAGGGAAGCCTCCAGGAAGGGCATCTTTTTCCAGTTCACACAAAGGCACTGTATGAGCTAGTGGTGGCTCTGTTCTCTTCCCACTCCCCTCCTGCCTGTGTGGGTCTTCTGGGATGGGGAGTAGTGATTCAGTCTAGAGGGACACAGGGGACCTGGTAACCGTAGTCTGGATGGATGGTAAGGTTACCTTACACACACACATACATACACACACTCACACTTTTTGGAGGAAGCAAACACTTCCAGAAGGTTCTGGGTGGTGCCAGCTCCTTTATTGGGACTCTTGTCCTTCCTTGGGCCGTATGAGAGTAGAGGGCATGTTGGTGGCACCAAGCATGTCCTTGATCCTTGGGGGTGTGGCTGTGTAGGCTTGGGGCTTGGATCCCACTGGGCTTCAGTCCTGAAGATATCATCAGTAGTTTGTCTGGTGTGGCCAAGGGGCTTCTGGCTGCTGGGGCTGGGGCCTTACTGGCAGGCTGGCCTTTACCCTGTGGGAAGTGGCCCTCTGTCTCCACAGTGGCACATGTTGCTGGCTCACTGACTCTCACTGACACTGTGGCTCTCCCCATTGTCCCAAAAGCTGAATCTCCTGTAGGTGGCACACAACTGTGCTCACTCATGAATGAACACACATGTGCATGTGTACACACACACACACTAATGTGGCATGTGGACTTCCTTCTCTCTGTCCTGTTCCTGGCCTATTCCTTCCTGTACCTCTGACCTTTGCAGCATGGGGTTCCATCTCCTTCCCTTCCAGAAGGAGGCCTGTGGGCCTCTTTTTCCAAATAGCACTGTCTCCTTTTCGCAGCCCCCCGCACCTCCGCAGAGCCACTGTGTTTGCCAATGGGTCCCTGCTGCTGACCCAGGTCCGGCCGCGCAATGCAGGGGTCTACCGCTGCATAGGCCACGGGCAGAGGGGCCCTCCCGTCATCCTTGAGGCCACGCTTCACCTGGCAGGTGGGTCCCTGGGTCTGGGGTGCTGAAGCAGGGGCCGCCTTCAACGCTGTGGGCACGTGGAGAGTTAGGCTCCTGATTCTACTCAGAAAGCAGCTCGGAGGACAAAGAGAGGAAGAGGATGCTGGGTCCAGGAAGATGAGAGGCAGTGTGTCAGGGGTTTGTGTTACCAAGGGCCCGAGATTGCTGTGGGAGAGTTTGAGGTGCCGAGACCCACGGTAATTGGGCGGTTTGCCTCCTGCTCCCCTCCCCGCAGAGATTGAAGACATGCTGCCATTTGAGCCACAGGTGTTCACAGCTGGCCGCGAGGAGCGCGTGGCCTGCTTGCCCCCCCAGGGCCTGCCGGAGCCCCATGTGTGGTGGGAGCACGCGGGAGTCCGGCTGCCCACCCACGGCAGAGTCTTCCAGAAGGGCCATGACCTGGTGTTTGCTGGAACCATCGAGAGTGACGCTGGCGTCTACACTTGCCATGCAGCCAACCTGGCCGGTCAGCGGCGACAAGATGTCAACATCACTGTAGCCAGTGAGCACCTTGGCCCTGTGGGATGAGGCAAGGTTGGAGGGGAGCCCGGGTGCCACGACGAGGCCTTGGTTTCTGGGGGCCATGTGCAAAGGCTTCCCGGATGCTCACCTGAGACCCCCTCAGCTCTGTGTTCTGCACGCTTGGGACTCAGTCAGCTGTTGGAAGGTGATGTTGGGGTTGACCCTGAAAAGCCAGGCACAGAAGTTGGGGTGACAGCCCACACGGAAAAACAGTCCTCTGATGGCAGAGCAAAGGTGAGGGCCTGGGATTCTAGAGACCCAGGTCCCACTCTTTCCCCTGCGCATGGAGGGACAAGGTGTGGCAAGCCCCCGTTTTGCCAGGGGTAGGTCTCCTCATCCATAAAATGGAGCTCCTGACCCAGTACTTACCCTACAAGGTGGTCAGAAAGATCAGATATGCTTGCAGTCAGCTGGGAGGTCAGCTGGTGGTTGGCTGTTCCCTGACAGCCTCATTCAGATGTCTCGAGGTTGATGGAGGTTGCATCTGCTGGGGTGCCTCAGGTGTCGTCCTTCCCACCCCCCACCGTGGCTGCTACAGCAGGCCTGGGGCCTCCTCAGCCAGGACTGAAAGTCGCAAGGCTTCTCAAGGCAGCCGCTCAGCAGCTGCTCAGCACGACTTCCACTGGGTTCTGTGTTGGGCCAGGCCAGTCGTGGGCCCCCCAGACTTGAGGCACGAGAAAAGTAGATTGTCTTTTGATGGGGAAAGTGACAGCAGCACGAGTGCAGAGGAACAAGGGACGGGAGAGCCGTTCACGACCATCTTTGCAAACAATCTGCCACCCCAGGTCAGACAGTAAGTCCTTGTAGGGTTTTGAGTCGGAGAGTAACATTCTCGAAAGATCACTCCCCGCAGTTCTGAGAAGACCAGAACGTTAGGGGCAGGAGTTCTGGATGGGGAGCCCAGTTAGTAGATGACTATAATTCTCTGGGGCAGGTGTTGGAGGGCCTGGAACAGAGCGGTAGTTGTGCAGATGAGAGTGATGATCAGACTCAGGATTTTGGGGAGCTCAAGGAGATGGGGTTTGCGTAGAATGGATGTGATGGGAGGGGCTATAGAGAGGGAAGTCAAGGGTACGTTTGGGCTCTTGCCATTGGCTCTGTAGGGGCGGTATTTACTGAGACAGGAAAAGCTGGGATGAACAGGTTCCAGGGGAAGTCAGTTGTTTTCTTTCATACACATAAAGCTCGAGAGGCCTGTTGGATATCCAGTCGGAGATGCTAGGTAGGCAGTTGGGCTTGCCAGTCTGAAGCTCATGGTGGGGAGGTCAGGAGTCAGGGTGTAGGTTTGGGAATCACGCACTCCTATGGCGTGGAAGGCCACGGACTGGCTGAGATCATTCAGGGTACGAGGTTGGCTAAACCAGAGCAGGATCTGAGGACCAAGCCTTGGGGTGTTTCAGTGTAATAAAAAGAGGAAGGGTTTGCGGGGCACATGACCGGGGATTGGAATCCTATCTATTAGGTATTAGCACATCACCATTACTATAAATGTCTGTCTTCTCAGCTGTAAAATGGGTATAGGAATATACACGTATGGGGTTTATTGTGACCGTTAACTAAGATCATATTCCAAAGGTTGTCCTCACTAAGGGGTCGTTGTTGCACCTTTCGGGGGAGCAGACAGGGGCTTCTGAACTCGGTCGGGTGTGGGGTTGGAATTTCGAGGGATTGGATCCTTTGGTCTTGCAGATGTGTTCCTTCGTCTTCTCTTCCCTCCCCGTCCCTCTAGCTGTGCCCACGTGGCTGAGGAAGCCCCAGGACAGCCAGCTGGAGGAGGGCAAGCCAGGCTACTTGCATTGCCTGACCCAGGCCACGCCCAAACCCACAGTCATCTGGTACAGAAATCAGATGCTCATCTCAGAGGTGAGAGTGAGGCTGGCTCGTGGCGGAGGGGGCCAGAATCCCCTTCTGGGGCTCTCCTCTGGGATCGGCTCCCCTTGCCCTCCTTCCCCTGAAGATGCTGGTGGGGCTGAGACCTCCCATGGTCCTGTAATGTGTGCCACAGGACTCGCGGTTTGAAGTCTCCAAGAATGGGACCTTGCGTATCAACAGTGTGGAAGTGTATGATGGCACATGGTACCGCTGTGTGAGCAGCACCCCAGCCGGCAGCATCGAGGCCCAGGCCCGCGTCCAAGTGCTGGGTGAGCGCCCGAGCAAGCGTGGGGAGAGCAAAGGGGAAGGAGCAGCAGGGGGCCCTGATCTTCAGGCCTGCCCCAGCCGAGGCCGACTGAGCTGCCTTGCTTCCTCCTCTTGGTGCTCACCTACCCTCCCTCTGCTAAAACAGAAAAGCTCAAGTTCACACCACCGCCCCGGCCGCAGCAGTGCATGGAGTTTGACAAGGAGGCCACGGTACCCTGCTCAGCCACAGGCCGAGAAAAGCCCACTATTAAGTGGGTTCGGGCAGGTGGGTACCGGGGGGGCATGGAGTGGGGGCAGGTAGGACAATCCACTGGTCGGATGTGTGCGTGTCTGAGAACCAGCGGAGGAGGGCCCAGCACCATGCCAGGAACTGTGGAAAAGACAAGGAATGTGGGGCCGACCTACAGTCCAGGTAGGAAGAAAGGAGCCAGACACCAGGGAGGTCAGGTTATGGCATTAGAGGTCATGGACAATGACTGAGGCCGCAAGTGACTGGCTTGATCCAGATGGTGCTGTGAATTCCTCCCTCTCCCTTCAAAATAGGCATATTTAGACAGAAAGGTAACGCAGGCTCCTTTAGAAAGTTTGTGGGGCGGGAGCGACTAGTGCGCTCAGTTGGTAGAGCATGGGACTCTTGATCTTAGGGTTGTGAGTTTTAGTCCTGTGTTGGGGGTAGAATTGACTTAAAAATCAAACCTTCAGGGGCACCTGGGTGGCTCAGTTGGTCGGACGTCCAACTCTTGGTCTCAGCTTGTGTCATGATCTTGGGGTCGTGTTACCAGGCTCTGAGCTGGTTGTGGAGCCTGCTTGGGATTCTCTCTCTTGCTTTCCCTCACCCCCCACTTGGCATGTACACTCTTTCACTCTCTTAAAAAAGAAAAAGAAAGAAAAGGGGAAAAAAAAAACAACTTAAAAAAAACTAAGAAAATTTGGGGGGAGGTCATAATCCTGCTATACCATCATTTTTGGGTTTGTGCCCCCTTCTTTTTCTATGTATATCTTTCTGTTTGCACATAGCAATTTTATTGAACATGTAATTTTCACTTATTAAACTTACATTGAGTAAGTCATGCTTACTACAGAAAAAGAAGATATAGTTAATTATGTAATTTTATATCCTTTTTTACTTAACGTTATCAAGCATTTCCACATGCTTTTATACATAAACATTGGTTTTGATGATTGTAATAATACTCTGATGATTGGAGTCACTGTAATTTACTTAAATATTCCCTAAATGTTGGAGATTTGGGTTGTTAACCATCCCCCCTCTCTCCCTCTCTGCCTTTCTCGCTCTCTCTTTTTATCGCTGCAGTAAACATCTTTAAGCCAAAGTTTTTTCTGGATTTGGGTTTATTTCCTTTGGGAGAGATTCCCAGAAATGGAATAATTATGTATGAAAGGGTACACATGTTTTTGCAACCCTTGCTGTAAATTGCCAAGTTGTCTGTCAAGGGGCTAGACCAGTTTTTACATTTCCATGAGTAGTATGAGCGGGAGAGGAGGACTTCAGGTTTCGGGGAAGAGGTGGGCGGGCGCTCTCTGCTCGGGTGGTCGGAGTCAGCTTTCTGTTAAGAGCTGGAGCAGCAAAGGGATCTGAAGCCTGGACGGCTAAGAACGGGAAGGGGTTCTAGAAGTGAGATGTGACAGGCCATGAGGATGAGGTCAAGGTGAAATCGGAGCCCCGTCGGAAGTCCAGTTTTGCAGGAGGGAGATGTTGTAAGGGCAGTGGAAGGAGAGGAGACTAAAAAATTGGAAAAGGAACAAGTAACGGGGGGTTCCCAGTGCCTGGCTCAGGAGTTGGGACTTTGTCTGAGTCATCAGGAGCAACAGGTAACACGCTTTTGAGTAGAGGTGGGTGACTGAGTGCACTGCGGTCCTGAGTGACTTGGATCAAGCCTGTAATTTCCCTTTGTTGCCACCACAGATGGGAGTAGCCTCCCCGAGTGGGTGACAGACAACGCCGGGACCCTGCACTTCTCCAGGGTGACCCGTGATGACGCCGGCAACTACACTTGCATCGCTTCCAATGGGCTGCAGGGCCAGATCCGTGCCCACGTCCAGCTCACTGTGGCAGGTGCGACCGTGGCAGGGCCCCGGGACAGGAGGGCAGCCCACAGCCGGCCAGTCCCACGGCTCACTGCTCCTCGTCCCTTGTTGGGCTCTTCCCATCCAGTTTTCATCACCTTCAAGGTGGAGCCAGAGCGCACGACCGTGTACCAGGGCCACACAGCCCTGCTGCGCTGTGAGGCCCAGGGAGACCCCAAGCCTCTCATTCAGTGGAAGGGCAAAGACCGCATCCTGGACCCCACCAAGCTGGGACCTAGGTAGGGCCGTCTGCTTCCCCGGCCCATCGCACCTCTCCTGCAGCCAGTCTTCCCCAGGAGCTGGAGAGGTGGGCAGCGCTGTGGCTTCTTTCCTGGCAGGATGCAGATCTTCCAGAATGGCTCCCTGGTGATCCATGACGTGGCCCCCGAGGACTCAGGCCGCTACACCTGCATCGCGGGCAACAGCTGTAACATCAAGCACACGGAGGCCCCCCTCTATGTTGTGGGTATGTGCTGGGGAGCAGTGTCCTGCAAAGGAAGTGCTAGGGCCACACTTCTTTCTCATCTTTGTTTTCATCGGCCCCCTATATACGGAGAACCCTGAAATCCTTTTTTTATGTTGGGGGCTGGGATTCAGCTGGCTCTGCTCTACCATGCTGTGTGGCATAATGTTGGGTTCCTTGCTGGGCTGTTGCTGATTTAACATTCCACAGCTGGGGGGTGGGGGGGTGGGTGGGGTGTGTGTGTGTGTGTGTGTGTGTGTGTGTGTGTGTGTGTTGGGAGGTGTGTGTGTGGGGGGTGTAGGGGTGGTCCTCTTGTCCTAAAATGCTTCTTCCCAGGTCTCCTGCAGCGGCTGCACATATCTGGGGGGGAGGGGGAGGCAGGGAGGGGAGCAGGCCAGGGTGCTGCAGGAAAGTGTTACCATGCCCCGGAGGCCCAGAGAGAAAGATCCATCCGGTAAAAGGCTCTGCCAAGGGTGCCTGGGTGGCTCAGTGGGTTAAGCCGCTGCCTTCTGCTCAGGTCATGATCTCAGGATCCTTGGATCGAGTCCCACATCGGGCTCTCTGCTCAGCAGGGAGCCTGCTTCCCACCCCCTCTGCCTGCCTCTCCGTCTACTTGTGATCTCTCTCTGTCAAATAAATAAAAAAAAAGAAAAAAAAAAGGCTCTGCCAAGAGTCAGGGACTCGGGGTTTGGGTTTGGTCTCTCCTCCCCAGCTCTATGCCCTTGGAGGTGTTATTTCCGCTCTAGGGGCTTGGTTCTACATCTGTAAGATGAGAGTAGTTTCAATGAGAAGTTCTTAAACTTGTAGTTTAGCAGCAGAACTGTTTTTCTAGACAAAATATTCTGTGGAACATTCAATGGATAATAGTGAAATGATAAGGCCTCTTGGTTGACGTGTTAGGTGTGGGTGGGAGTTTCGAAGTCCTAGTGGTCTCCCTAGCGGGCCTCTCTCCCTCAGTTTCCCTGGTGATTCCTGGCTCCTCTTTCACCATGGGACCCTAGGCCATTGAGAGCCCCTAGTCTGGAAGATCCTTTCCGCAAACACGTTCTTGAAGAGCTTGCTCTGTGTCTGGCCATCTGGGATCCTAAATCAGGAATTCACAAATGCTGCTCTTCAAGGCCTGGTTCAAGATACCAAGTCCACTCAGGAAGCTTGTCAGCGATAGCATGGGTTTGTGTTAGCATCCTGACAGGTGTGTTTCTTTTTATGTGTGTCCCTGGCCTCACATCTCAGATGCACCCCAGCTTGGGAATCACTGGCCTCAGATCCTTCAGAACTTCTGTGACTTCAGTGGGGCCCTAGGACCCACCCCTTGTTAAAGCCAGAGACGGTGGTGACCCGCCCTGGTTCTCTGGTTTGGTCAGGCCATTGGGTGTCTGGGAGGCAGTCGTCGACTAGGAGGTGGTGGGAAGGTGGTGGGGAGGGGCTGGGAGCGAAGGAGGGCTGGGTTGGCCTCACTGGGCCCTGCCCAGACCCTTCTCTGTGTTTCTCAGACAAGCCAGTGCTGGAGGAGTCCGAGGGCCCAGGCAGCCCTCCCCCCTACAAGATGATCCAGACCATCGGGCTATCTGTGGGTGCTGCTGTGGCCTACATCATTGCCGTGCTGGGCCTCATGTTCTACTGTAAGAAGCGCTGCAAGGCCAAGCGCCTGCAGAAGCAGCCGGAGGGCGAGGAGCCGGAGATGGAGTGTCTCAACGGTGAGGGATGGCCTGTGGCGGCGGGTTGGTGTGCAGGCGCTGAGCGCCCCCTGGTGGAGAGAGAGAGAGAGAGAGAGAGAGAGAGAGAGCGCGCGCGAGCGTGAGAGCGAGAGAGAGCGCGAGCGAGCACGCGAGCGAGCGAGCGCATGAGCTGTGGTGCTGGCCTGCTGGGGCTCTAGGCGATCCGGCCCCAACCCCAGCTGGAAGCCTGGAGTTGGCCCATTCCCTGGCCTGGGGAACTGAGCAGCCTGGTTCACGACCTCCTCATGGGAGGTTCAGGGCCGGCTTCTACCTTGCTGGGCCTGTTTCTCCCTGTACCACTAAACCACAAGCACAATTAATACATGCCTTTGTATTTCAGTGGCACACCTGCCTCCTGCCCATTCAGTTCCCCCAGGGACATCCTGCCAGTTCCCCTGCTCCTGCCCTTCTCACAGAGGCATTGCTGGGTTGCCCCTATCCATTTAGGCATTCCAAAGCAGGGCCTGGGTCTCCCTCATTGTGCTTCCCCTTTGTGCCCGGTTAGGGCTTTGTGCAGTGGAGGCCCCACAAAAGCAAAGCCCCTTAGACTGCACGAAAGCAAAGCCCTTTAGACTGATGCAGTGTTGAGGGCCCGGTGGTCCAGATGAGGCCTGTGTACCTGGTTCCATCTCAGAGGTAGTAGTCAGCTGTGTCCATCAGCGCTTTTACTCTAAGGGATGCCTGTACCCCTACCCCTTCAGTACACCAGTTGGACTGGCTTTTTTTGTGTGGAACACCGTGATTGGACCCACTTGATGGAAGGAGAGGTCTGGGGGAGAGAAGTGAGGTGCCCGTGGTGGCCAGAGTGTCTAGTCTTATGTTGCTGCCTCCCCAACCATGCCTCTTCTTCCCAGGTGGGCCTTTGCAGAACGGGCAGCCCTCCTCCGAGATCCAAGAGGAAGTGGCCCTGACCAGTTTGGGCTCTGGCCCTGTGGCCACCAACAAACGCCACAGCACGACTGATAAGATGCATTTCCCGAGGACCAGCCTGCAGCCCATCACCACACTGGGTATGTCGCCTTGGCTGCAGCGGTCACAGCTTAATGACAGGCCTGTCTGGAGGCGAGGTTAGGGCTGCTGGCTCCAAGGTCCCTAAAACCCAGAGCCTGGGAGCCAGGGGCAGGAAGCAGAGGGGAGATAATCCCAGTGTGTCCCCACACCTGTACACGGCTCACCACCCTGGCTGTAGTCACTCCCTGTGCCTTATTTACTGGGTGTTTCCTTCAGACTGGCTGCCTTTAAAAACAGAAAAAAAAAATTAATGCAAGTTAGTGTTGTTCTAGGAAAAAAAATGTGAGAAATTACAGATTTGTGGCAGTTAAATTTTTTCTGAGGATGCGTTAAAACATGGAGCTATTAATATGTTTATTAAGAGCCCTCTAAAATTCTCACACCAGCTATCCTTTGGAAAATGCTGGTACTGTTGGAGACCATGAAGCCCAGGGCAGGGCGGGGACTGGTTTGCTCAGGGTCGCCCCCCACGTGGATGGGTGGGGTGCAGCCAAGACTCCCCTCTGGGTGACAGAGGGGCAAGGCACCCCCCCCCGGGGAGGAGCTTCCCTGCTGGGGTGAGGGCAGCTGACTGACCCAGACCTGTACCCACAGGGAAAAGTGAGTTTGGGGAGGTGTTCCTGGCGAAGGCGCAGGGCGTGGAGGAGGGGGTGGCGGAGACCCTGGTGCTTGTGAAGAGCCTCCAGAGCCGAGACGAGCAACAGCAGCTGGACTTCCGGAGGGAGTTCGAGATGTTTGGGAAGCTGAACCATGCCAACGTGGTGCGGCTCCTGGGGCTGTGCCGGGAAGCCGAGCCCCACTACATGGTGCTGGAGTACGTGGACCTGGTATGCTGGGGGGGGGCCTTGCCGGTTGGGGGGTGCGTGCCACGGAGCCTCGTCTCATGTTGTGTCAGCTTGCTGGGAGACGCTTGCCCCCTGTCCCCGCTAGCTCTCCAACACCTGCTGTTCCTTGACTGGTGCTCCCTCCTTCCTGTCTGCCGTCCCCTGTGTGTGGGGCTGGTCCCCAGCTTCTCGCTCTGCACACCACCCAGATGCGTCCCAGGTCTCCTTCCTGGACTCGGGTTTTCTTCGGTTTGTCATTTTTCCTTCTCTGCCGGGCTCATCACCCCCCTGAGAATAAAACTTAGCAGACCCGGCTTTCCTTCTTGGAAATCCTTTCTGGCATCCTCTCCCCTGTGGGGCACCAGTGTTAGCCCCGTTGCCAGCCTTCTCTTTCCATCTCACCTGTCACGCCTGGAGCTGCCCAATACTCTGAGTTCCCCAACCCACCTAACCTTTACTCCCTTGGTCCTCAGGCTGCTGCTCGTTACATCCTCAGGTCGGCTGGAGAGAGGGGGAGCAGTCCTCCTCCTTGCCACTGGCAAGCCCTCATGAGTAATTGATGTATGTTTCTGCCGCTACTGCTCCCTCAGTATATTTCTTAGGTGATAAACCCCCGGAGGACAGAGGTGTCCTCTCAGGGGTCTGTGATGGTTAGGAGCTGGTTAGGAATCCACTTGATTCCCTGAGGCCAGGAGTCTTGTCACCTGCCTGTCTGGGGCTCTGCCGAGGGTAGGAATGGCAGTCCTGCTGTCTCTATGACTGAGAGAGCTTCTAGAAGCCATCTCTTATATATTTTTAAAATTCCCACTGGACTTCCCCCAGTGGAGGGGGAGCTGGCCGCGGTGGGTGTACAGGGCCAGGGGTTCTCTCCTGCTCAGCTGGGCGCTCTGGGAGCCCCTGCTGGGTTTAATGCTTTGGAGAGAACAGTTGGCCTCTGACCTGACAGAAGTGCTCGGCTTTTCCCTTAGGGAGACCTCAAACAGTTCCTGAGGATTTCCCAGAGCAAGGATGAAAAACTGAAGCCACAGCCCCTCAGCACCAAGCAGAAGGTGAGGACAGGGAGGGAGAGGTCCTCAAGGGTGGGTCAGGATCAAGGGCCATTGGTGGCAGAGGTGCTGCTAATGGAATGTTCCCTATGGACAGGGCAGGACTTTACATATGTTATCTTAACCATCACAATAGTCCTCGGAAACAAATGTCATTAACCCCATTTTGCAGATAAAGAAACTGAGGCTTTGAGAGGTTAAGGGTCTTGTCCCAGATCACATAACTCCGAAATGCCTTTGTGTTGCCGCCCGGTGCCTTCGTTTGGAAGGGCTGCTCTTCACCCTTGCCGCTGGAGTAGGACAGTGGCTCCTGTAGTGAGCGCTGAGCTGGGGGAGCGGTGAGGGCTGGGCAGGGCGGGCTGTGGCCCCCAGAGTGTTCCGTCAGCCTCTGAGTGTGGATGACTTCCGTGAAAGGGCTGCTCATGTTTTGCCCACTATGGTTTTCACACTCTCACTCTCACTCGGGCTGCGGGCTGCCCAGCCTTTCCTTCCAGTTCTCCCGCCTTCTGGGCCCAGATACCTGGCCGGGGGCCCCACAGTGAAGGAGACCTGACTTGAAACAGTGAGATAGGGAAAGTTTGCCTACTACCCTCTGCCCACTTCAGACGATTTCTTCTGTGGCCCAGCTCTTTCTGCCCACAGCCTCCTTCCCTCCCCTCTGAAATGGGGCTGCCTCCTTCTCTGGGACTGGGCATCCCACTACCAAGCTGACAGCAGAGTCACCTCAGAGACTAGTCACAGCTCAGGGCAGGTAGGTAGCAACGGCTAGGGCCCTCCCTTCCAGGTGATGATGGTTCTTTGCCTTGTAGGCCCACCAAGCTCACAGATTCTGGGGGCAGGGCAGACAGGGATGGCTGGTCGATAAGTCAGGGAAATGGGACCCATCACCCCGGTCTCTCTGGAAAAGTCACTCTGCACCCCCAGGCTGACTTCCTCATAGTTATAGATGAATTTACTGAGGCCCACACAGGACAGGGGACCTGGCCCCACATCACCCACAGCTGGCCTCCTGACACCAGGCCCTGGCTCCATCCCCAAGAAGCGGCAGCGACTGTCTGCAGTGGCTGTAGATGGAAAGCCGGGGGACAGGGTGTGCCCCTCCCCCTAAGGAGTGTGTCAGGACATGCAAGGAGCCAGTGAGCTTCTACTGAACCAGTCCCGGCCCCTAGCGGGGTTGCAGAATGGAAACTGCCAGGCATCCTTAGGGCATCTAAGATCTAGTGGGGGAGCTTGGGAAAATGAATATGGCGAGTGCCTTACAGACTTCAGGGACGACACAGAAAGTGAGTGAGAGACAGAAATTAAGAAACACTGAAGACCTCCACATCCTTTAGGTGGACACACGGTGTGGTTAACAAAGAGGGTTTCCTGGGGCGCCTGGGTGGCTCAGTTGTAAAGCCTCTGCCTTCAGCTCAGGTCATGATCCCGGGGTCCTGGGATCGAGCCCCATGTTGGGCTCTCTGCTCAGCCAGGAGTCTGTTTCTCCCTCTCCAATTCCCCCTGCTTGTGTTCTCTCTCTCGCTGTGTCTCTCTCAAATAAATGAGTAAAATCTTTAAAAAAAAAAAAAAAAAAAAAAGGTTTCCTGGTAGACAAAGCAGTTTGAGTTCAGTTCTCAAGGAGAGGAAGTAGTTGAATGGCAGGAAGGAGATGGCTTCAGGATAGAGGGGAGTCAGGTAGTTTTCTTGGGGACCGGGACGTAGGCAGGCAGAACAGGAAATCAGTTACCTCTGTCACATGACCTGAAGGACTCTCTTTGGCTGAAAGTCATTACCACCTGTGCTAAAGATCTGTCCTCCATTTTTCACCCCTAGCATCGTAAATCTGATGGGGGAGCTTTCATAAGTCGTGTTCCGCACAGTCTCAGGACAATATTCAGCATCACATGGGAAGTGGGGTTTGCGTAAAATAAAAAATGCAGGTTCTAGACCGAGGGGATAGAAATGTCTTAGGGTGGGGTCTGAGGACCTATCTGAGGCTCTCCAGCTGATTCTTTTTTTTAAAAGATTGATTCATTGATTGATTGATTTGAGAGAGAGCAAAAAAACACAAGCAGGGGGAGCAGCAGAGGGAGAGGAAGAAGCAGGCTCCACACTGAGCAGGGAGCCCAATGCAGGGCTCTATCCCAGGGCACCGGGACTATGACCTGAGCTGAAGGCAGACGCTTTACCATCTGAGCCACCCAGGCGCCCCTAAAGTCACACTTTCAAAATACTGTATTTGATACACTTGGTATTTCCTATCTTATTTTTCTTGACCTATTAAATTGATTCTGATATCATGTGGATCTTCATTAGTAACTTGAAAAATACTTGAAAAATCCCCCCAAATGGGGATTCCGTGAAAATGTCACTTAGTAGGAAGGATCTACTAAAATCATAGATACTTTCTTATACTAATAATCTAGTGAGCTGTTACACCACTTTCTAGTCTTAGGATTCTAGGGGAATGGAAGGAGGAAGAGTTAGTTTGTAAGGGGTGGTGGGATGGTAGGCGGGGTGCCCCCCGGTCGCGTGAAATTGGAACAAGAGTGCCTAGCTGGCCTGGGTGGGCTGCGGGAAGCCCCGGGAGAATTTTAGGACGGCAGCGGGATAGCGCTGGATATCAGACACAGGCCCTGGGTGTTGGCGTAATTAGAGATAATGCGTGTTTGAGTCGCTAATGAGGTGATGGAGATTTTGAAGTCTGGGGGCCATAACCTGTGACTTGTCTGTGGGTCCTGGCAAGCTAAGGACAGGACCAGGAGCAGGCTCAGCTTAGCACGCCTCGAGGACAGCAGTGTGTGCAGTCAGATGCTGCAGGGGTTAGACAGAATGTGGGCAAGCCCTGAGGCTGGCATATTGGTTGTGTAGATAGGTCCAGTGTGGTGGTGGCTTGGGTCAGTGGTTCTGAAGAATTTCTGGCCATGATGGAAATAGTTTATAGCTGCTGCTGTCCAGTGTGGTAGTCACTAGCCTCATGGGGCTACTGAGCATTTAGAATGTGGCTAGAGCTACTGAGGAACTGAATTCTTAATTTCATTAAGTTTTAATTCACTTAAGGAGCCACACAGGGCAAGGGGCTACTGTTTTGGACAACAAGGGTTTAGACCATCGTTTCACTTTTTTTTCCCCCTGATGTTAACGAAGTATAGTTTTATGTAACTTTTTTTTTTTTAAGATTTTATTTATTTATTTGTGAGAGAGAAAGAGAGAGAGAGCATGAGCACAGGCAGACAGAGTGGTAGGCAGAGGCAGAGGGAGAAGCAGGCTCCCCGCCGGGCAAGGAGCCCCATGTGGGACTTGATCCCAGGACGCTGGGATCATGACCTGAGCCGAAGGCAGCTGCTTAACCAACTGAGCCACCCAGGTGTCCCAGTTTTATGTAACTTTTTAACATGTTCTGCATTCAGTTTGCTTTTTCCTGAACCCTTTCTCAAACTCACGAGCCCTGGTGTCAGGCTCCTGCTCAGTGGGGAGTCTGCTTCTCCCTCTCCCTCTGCTGCTCCCCGCTATCCTTGCCCTCCCCCCAAATAAAGTACGTAAAAAATATTTTAAAAAATAGTTTTAAGGGACACCTGGGGTGGCTCAGTGGGTTAAAGCCTCTGCCTTCGGCTCGGGTCATGATCCCAGGGTCCTGGGATCGAGCCCCGCATCAGGCTCTCTGCTCAGCAGGGAGCCTGCTTCCTCCTCTCTCTCT